GTTATTTTTTTTGGAAATTATTTTTGGTTCAGTTAGAAAATTTCCTATATAGTAAGTGAGGTACAGAGAATATTTCCAAAAAGTCAATCACATAAATCAAATATGGTTTTGTTTTGTTCTTAACATACTCTTTAAAACAATTTTTGTTCTTAATGGATTTATAACAATAACAAAATAAAAAATAATTAAAAAGAATTAGGGTTTTAGAATATTTGAACTGAAAACAAAAATGAAAGAGATAATTGAACGAATAACATTAGGGAATGGAAATGATGAAGATTATCACTTACTCAAACAAAATATTAAATCAGATATTATTGGATTTCAAAAAGAAGGAGGATTTGAAATGATAAGAAATAAAACTAATGATATAAAGATAAACAATACTGAAAAAATTCAAATAATTTCATTATTAGAAGAGTTGTGTAAAGGATGTAATATTATTCAAAATTTAGAAATATATAAAAGAATAATTCCATTTAAATGGTTAAAAGAAGAAGAAAATGAAGAAATAATAATGAGTATATTAAATTGTGGGTATTTATTATTACAATTAGAAGACACAGTAATTTATTATAAAGAAAATGAAATATTAAAAGATATATATCAAATTAGTAATTATAAAAATGGGAAGTTATTATATAAAGTTATGGAATATTTAGAATTATATTGTTCTAAAGAAACAGAAATATATTTAGTTGAAATATTAGATAATAGAGGGGTAGATGTTTTAAAGAGAACTTTAGACTATTATCTTTCAGAATCATCAGATGATTTAAAACAAAAATTAATAGAAAAGACATGGTTTGTTATTGATCTATTTACTTCAATACAAAATATTGCAGAAGGATTTATTAAATGTGGCATAATGCAAAAAGTAATTCAGTGTTATGATTCAATTAGTAATCAAACAATTCAAAAACAAATTTATTGGAAATTAATATCGTTGTCTTCTATTCTTCCTAATGAATTAATTCTTGAATTATATACTCCAAAAGAAAATTGTATACCATTAACAACAGTTGATGCAGATGATCCAGAAATGATTAAATTATACTTAACTACAATATTAAAAATATTTATTGCTGGAGATGAAATTGATCAACAAAAAAATCCATTTCTTCCTATTTTCTATCATCACCAATTTGTTTCTGTGTTAGAAAAATATATTCCTTCTGAAGATAAAGAAATATCAAAATTTGCATCTTATTTATTAACCTTATATTTTCTTGGAAATGATAAGAATTTGGTTCAATAACTTATTTGATTCTTATTAGTTTTAATTTTATTGAAGTCTTCTCAAAATTGTTAATTTATAAACTCCCTAAAAACATTGACCCAAAATAATCTTTTATTTTATGAAGATAAATTTTAACTCTGATTCTTTTATTTTTTTTTCTTTTCTATTTTTTGTAAAGACCTTTATTTAGAAGTTAAACTCCATAACTAAAATTAGCTATTGTTTTTATTAATCCCGAAAAACAAGACATGAAAAGTCATGTCAAAAATAATTTTTGTTATGAATTTAATTTCCTTTTCATTCTAATTTATTTCTTATATTTAACTAATAAAGTTTTATCGAATAATGGAAAAAAATCCTTTTAAACACTTTTATTGGACAATACAAAAAAAAAATCATTAAAAAATATGAAAAAAGAAAACTGTGGAACGAAAAGAAAAAGCATAAATAACATGAAGCCATTAATTTTTATCCTTTCATAAGATTTTAAAAAGGAAATGATTTAATCTTAAAACTGTCATATTTTATTAATAATGGAAGTACAAGTTGAGCACTTTCTCACTATGAGTGTTGGAGTTAATTTTGAAATCATTCAAACTAAAGACTTATTGGTTGGGTCATTAAAATATGGTGAGGTTTCTTTAGTTTTTAGAAATGACTCTAGTTTTAAACAATTTACATTATTTAGTTTGTTTTCCTTATTTTATTTATCTTTTCAAAAAGAGTATGAGACATTAATTTGGATATAGACATTTTTACCTCTTCATTTCAAAATGAAAAGAAATGTAACCAAGTTATTAAAAGACTTCAATCAATCAAACATGTTAGTTCTCTTCCACTCCTTCATATTGATACTGTTTATCAAACAGAACATCAAATTTTTATTCTCTGTAATGATTCTTTTTCTTTTGAAGACAGAATGAATAACAAGATTACTTCAGATGAAGCACGTTATTTCTTAGCAGATTTTCGTTATATTCTTCAAGCCATTACTATACTTCCTGCACATGTATCTTCTCAATCTTTAGTTTTCATGCAAGATTCTATTTCAACCTGTTTTAAGTCTCGTTGTGATAGTCCATCATCTCCTATTCCTCATTTATTACTTTCTCCATTGGCATTTGTCTTACCAATGACTATTCTTCCAAATATGAATATTACAAAAACTACTCCTTCTATTTTTTCGTTAATAAATGATATTGTTTCTAAAGTGATTCCCCAAGATGAATCAGATACTTATTTTATTGGTCAAGTTATGAAATTTATTCAAAATAAAGAGTTAGTTTCTCTTGAAGAGTTAAGTAACTCTGAATTTCTATTTCGGTGTTATGAGTTTCAACAATTACCCCATGGGTCTTTAGATAATTATACCCCTCTTGAATTTATTGGTAATGGGGCTTTTGGGTTAGTTCTTAAAGTTGAACGTAATGGAGTTATATATGCTATGAAACAATCATCTAGGGCTGATATTCTTCAAAGAGAAGCCCGAGCAATGAAATTATTAAATCATCCTAATTTGATGTCATTAGTAGATTATATTGAGTCATCGGAGTCTTTTGCCTCTAGGCTTGGAATCAAGGCTAATAGAAGTAAGAAGTATTATTATCTTGTAATGGAATATTGTAACTTTGGTACTCTTGCTCAATATATAAACACTCATGATTTAAAAGAAGAAGACATTGTTTATTTTATTTCTCAAATTAATGATGGGTTAAAGTATTTATTATATAAAAAGATGATGGTTCATAGAGACATTAAATTAGATAACATTTTATTAACAACTATTCCTGGTTCAAAGGCAGAACTCCCATTTAATCTTCAAGTTAAATTAGCTGATTACGGGTTTTGTCGTGCTATTAACAGTGGTAAAGAGCATGTTAAAGTTGGAACTCCTTTATACTTAGGTCCAGAAATTTATAATAATTCTAGTCCATCATTGAAGAGTGATTTATATTCTGTTGGTGTAATGCTTTTTAGAATGGTTTGTGGGTGTTTTCCTAATGAAACTAATACCTCACAAACTCTAAGAAATGAGATCCCTCATGTAGTATTTCCTCAAAAGGTTAACAACGACATTCATTTAAGTTTATTAAGGAATCTTATTTCACGTCTAATTCAAAAAGAATCTATAAGAATCGATTGGAATAGTTATTTCAATCACCCATTTTTTGTTCATTGTTAATGGTTTATTTATTTAATTGTACTATTAATTGCTTTATCGTTTTTATTTTTCATTTTATTCATTTAGGTACTTTATTTGCTTCTTCTTTTGAAGTACTTTTTCATTAACTAAAATAATCCTAATATTATCAATACATTTTTAATTCTTAATAACACTATGAGACTATTTGTAAGATGTAGTAATTTAATAAGTAAAGACTTGTTTTTGTTAAGTTGTTTAGTCTAAGTAATTATAATGTTTAGATTGGACAATTATTTAGTAAAGAAGCAATAAAGTTGTTTTTTTAATATTTTATGAAATGTTTCACAAGGAAGTATTATATACATTAGTTGGTCTTTTGTTAAAGTACCAAGATATCAAGAAATTAAAAGTAAAAGACTTTATTCTAGAGTTTTTAAGATGTTTTTTACTACACATACTTTCTGATGTGAGAGTCTCTTCAACTTTATTAAATTAAAAATTTTATTTATTAAAAGTCAATGAAATGAGATATGAAATTAGTAGAGAATTAATGTATATTTTATTATTACAAACTTTTATTTTATAGTGTTAATTTGTAATGAATAAATGAATTTTTGGTTGTGTTATTAAAAGGAGATGAATAAATTTTTTATAGAAAGGCTTTGTTTGTTTATTTTTATGATTTATTCAATAATTATCAAAACAAAAAGAATATAAAATAATATATTATAAAAAGGAATATAATTATTCTTCTATCATTTGATGCTCAAACAATTGAATTGTTTCTTTTAGCATTGGAGAAATAACCTCAATAACATTTTGAACATATCCAAGAACAAAAGCATGTAAAATATCAGTAATAGTAATTTGAGCTTCTGGACAACGTTGCATCATATCACGAGCAACATTCTCATTTCCATATACATCATTTTTACCATAGATTAGATGAAGTTTAGAATGAAAAGAGTTTAAGAATTGAATAAAATCATCAGGGTATTCTTTAATTTGAATACCTTCGTCTTTACATAAAGAAAGCATTTGACCAGTCATTTGAGGGTCTAAATGATGTTTAAGTATTGGAATATATTGTTTTGGAACATCAGTAACTAAAGAAAAGAAGAAAGTTATTAAAGATAACGGTAAAAGTTGAAGTAAATGTGTTGAGAAAGCAAGACAAGCAATAATAAAAGGAGAGTAAGTAATTATTTTATATAAAGTACAAAAAGATTGTTTTAAATTAATAAGTGCAGGGAATAAACCATAATAGCCAACAATTCGAGATTGATCTATTTGACGTAATGCTTGTAAAGTAATATAATTACCAATAGAATGTCCTAAAATAATAAATTTAGTATTTGGATATTTCTGAAATATTTCATTGAAAAATTGAATTTTTAAATGAATTGCTTGATGAACTCCAAGTGAATGTTCTCCATTTTTACATAAAGAAACAATAATTGTTGGATAATTAAATAGTTCTATTAATGCACATGAAAATTCTTTATAAAATTCAATAATAGAAGGATTACCAGGTACAACAATAAATGCTAGTGGTGAGTCAATTTTTTCTGAACTAAATAAACAATGTTGATTACAAATAATATTATAAGTAAATTGAATATTCATATTCTCTACTTTAATAGAAAGATGAAATATTATATAATAAATTAATAGTTTTACTATAATTTTTATTTTAAATAATAAATTGTAATAATAAAATAATAATTAAAATGAATTAATTTAAGAAAATTGAGCAAACTTTTTAATCCATAATGAATCTTCTTTAATTGCCCAAGATAAAACAGCAGTTGCTGTTTTCATCATTTTTACTTTGTTTTCTTGGAATTTACTAAAAGTAATAAAAGCATAATGAGTATTATTTTCTACAGTTACAATTATTTCATCATCAAATACAAACATTTCTTGTTTAAGTTTATCTTTAGTAAGACCAATATATAAATTTTCATATATTCTAAATAATCTTTTTTGTTCTTTACGAGTTGTATGAATAGTAAATGGAGACATAAATACTTGATTATCATTTTTTGAATATACAACAAAATGAAGAATTTCATTTTTAATAATATATGGACAAACAGTTGGTGTTGGTGCTTCAATTTGATTCCAAAACTTAGATTGCTTAATTGTATGTTTAAATGTTTTATAACATTTAGTTAAATAATTCATTGATGTAGGTTGAGTAGCAACTAAAACAATAGAAAATGATGTTGTAATATATTTTACAAAGACATGAATTTGTGCTTTTTCATTAAAATCATTTAAACATAATGGCATCCAAGAAATAGTCTTTCTAGATGAAATAGAACGTACAAATGAAATTAAAACTTGTGAATCCATTGGGGTAAGATTAGCACTTCTTTTACCTAATACTACTATTTTACTATTTGAAATTAAAGCAGAAAATAAAATACAATCATTATTTGCTTTAAATAATTCAATATTTGTTTGTGACACAATTGTTTGAATATTTTCAGTTAAATAATTTCTTATTGTTGTTGGAAATTGTTCAATATCAAATGCATTAAATAATAGTCCTGATGACATATTACCATGACTTATAGCACATTTCATTTGATTATATGTTCCTCCAATAACATTTCTAAAATCTGTTCCATATGATTTATCAAAGATATTTTGAATTGATGGAAATGGAATTATACTACAAATAGTACAAAATAAAAATTGTAATTGTTTTATTATAATTTCTGGTTGTTCTTTTGTATTAGAAACACAACAAAATTGTAATGGTCCTTTATTTAAGAAAACATATAAATGTTCATTACTTCTTACATATTTTAATTCATCATTATTATCATTTACAACACTTGTTATAGCTAATAATGTTGCCATAAATGGTGCTAATTCAATATCATTCCCATATCGTGAAAATGCAGGTTTTCCTGCTAATGTATAAACAAACATATGTTTATGATGTAAAAACCATTCAGGGCAACTTGGGTCTTCTACCATATGATGGGCCCAATTCTCTGCATAACTTTCATTGAAAGCTATTGGAGATAATGGAGTGGTACTTCTTCGAGAAGACATTTTCTTTTTTTTTCTTTTTAAGTTTCATTTTTATTTTTTCTTTTTATCATATTATTTGGTCATTTATAGCATTTATGATAATTAAGTATTTCTTTTAAGGGTGTATTTATTAGTATTACAATGTCTTATTTTCCTTACCTAAAATAACACCAAAATAATTTATCATTTGTAGTGAATAAAAATACTATAACCTTCTTTTTTTTTCATATGTTGTTTTAAAAAAGTTGTTATTTGATATTCACTCAAGAACTCACTTTGTACATAAGTTTATAACACTTTATGAGAAAGTAATATAGTAGATAATAAATATTTTTAATTGAGTTGTAGATTAAATATAATAATGCATTCAAAATAGTTTTCAATTCTAAATCATTACTCTTGTTAATAATTTTTGTTTTATCAACGATTAGGATATTAATGGATTTCTGATTTTTATTTAATAAGTACTAGAAATAATTTTATATATTTTAAAAACAGTATTGTATATATTTCTTTTTGTACAATTAGAATTAGATAAGTTAATTAGAATACAAATAATAAAAGACTCTTATTGGTGGTATTAATAAAATATTTTAAAACTATTTAATTTTCGATTTTTTCATGAAGGTATTCGTGAAAAGATATATAAATGTTATTGTCATTATTAATGTTGTCGAGTATTGATTAATAAATATATTGTTAGACTTTAATTTAAAGAACACAAATGATATCATGACAATTATTTTTAGAAACTCTGTATGTCAGAATAAACAAGCTCAATTTACATATATTTAATTTATTTTTATTCATCCAAAATATTTCTTATCAAGAAACAAAGGATTTTTATCGAAATTACTGAAAGTTTATTTTGGTAAAAATAAGAAAACTAATAACAGAATAATACAATTATGATAAACAACCAAGATAAACAGTAAAAACTATAAAGAAGGTGATAAAAATTGATTTAGTAAATAAGTATGCTATTCTAAAGAAACGAGAAGAGAAATCTTTTGATAATTAAATAATATCAAAAAACAAACTATTTTTATAAAAAGAAAAAGAAATAACAAAAGAATACAATTAAATTAAATAAATTATTTTGTTGTTATGTAAGAGTAATTTTTGATATAATGTTCAAAGAAGAAAACAAAATAGAAAGAGAATAAAAATAAAGAGATGAAGATGGGATTAACACCAATTTATCATTCTAAAGGTGATGTGATTGTTTGTTTTTAATAACTAAATGAACAAAAACACATTTTAAAATTTCATTTAATAATACTCTACTTTATTTCCTGAGTGAACTTGTTTTATAATAAGAATAACAGACCATATTCCACAGCCAATCACAAAAAGCCCATACAATCCAGCAGCTACACCAAGATTGATTCTTAAAAGAGGGAAATCAAAATCATCTTTTAACATCTTTCCTTTTTTTACAGTATAACTATCAGCAAAAATACAAAGTATAACTAAGAAAATAACTCCCCAAATAGAGAGCATTGTACAAAACAAACTACCTAAAAACATTAATACACAAAAAATTTTTTAGTAATAACAATACATTTAACAATATTTAATAAAAATAAAAATGTATTAAATAAAACCAAACATTTAAGATTTGGAATATACTTTTTAAAAGCATTTTTATTGCAACTCATTGAAAGATGTTAGTAATGAATGTTTTTTTTTTCAATTTTTCATTAAATTTCATTTTTGTATAAAATAATAAATGAATTACTATTTATATAGTTTTTGACTTTGTTTCATAAACTTTCTTTTTTTTTATGTAACAAAAATTTAAACAATAACAAAAAATAATTCAAATAATTGTTTATTTATTCATTCAACAATTAGAAATGGTGTATGTAGATGAAAATAGTTATATTTAATACACAATTAGATAATTTAAATGGGTAAAAAATTGAATTTATTTGAATATAATTTAAATGGTCATATAAATGATAATTACATGATGTATCTGTTATTAAATAAAAATCATGTTGGTTTGTTTTTTGAAGAATATTAATAAATTCATTTAATAATTGTTTCCCAATTCCTTTTTTACGATATTCTTTATTTACAATAAATAATACAACTTCATTTTGAATTGATTTATTTGATTTTTGGTTTATTTTTTCTGCTTCTTCATAATATTTTTCAATTGAATTAATAAGAATAGAGCTTTCTAGATAACAATGAAGTTGTTTCTTTAATTCTTTAACTTTTTGTTCCAAAATATTATTTTTTTTAAATATGGATTGATCCCTTCCCATTAAAAATCCTATTACTTTCTCATTTACTTCAGCAACTATACAATAATTAGAATGTAAATAACAATATGAACAATATTCTTCACAATAAATATATACAAGATATTCAGGAAGATATTTATCGGTTTCCCATGCTTGACATACCATTTCTTTTATGGATTTCCAATCTTCTTGATTCATTAAACGATATTTAACTTCCATTGCAAAAAAGAATATAAATAAAAAAAAATTAGAAGTAAATTATTAAATAATTTAAAAAATAAAAATAAAAAGAAAAAACTAACATTAAATAATTAAAATTTATTAATGGATTTATTTGAATTTTTTCAATTAATCAATGATTTATTAATAATGAAACCTAATACTACTTTTCAAGGTTGTAAAGTGGTTTCAATGGACTTTTTTATTGATATTCAACGTCGACTAAGAATTGCAAAACAAATGTGTATTGATGGAAAACCTCTAAGTTCAATTCAACAAGTATTTCATACATCAATACCTCTCATTCAACCTTCACAAATAAAATCAATAGGTAAAGTATATTCTCCAACATTAATTAATTCACAAGTTATATTAGATTTTGATGTTATTATTATTGATCAATTATATCAATCAACATTACAAAAATTAAATAATCAATTTAACTTTACTTCCCTTCCTGAAGTCTTTATTAAAAAAAATAATAACACATTAACAATAATTAAAGAATATCCTATTGTCACAGTTTTTATTAAAGGACTTTCAAGTAGTGTTGAAACAATTCAAATTACCACTTTTCCAAATGAATTAATGAAAGATTTTAAAAAAAAAGTATTAGATTTAATAAAAATAAAAATTGATGAATATCAATTAACTTGGTCTTCAAAAGATAATAATGTATTTATTAATGAAAATTCTTCTGTTCCAAATGAATTATATCTCTCATTAATACCAAAATTTACTTCATTTTCAACACCTTTTACTTCAACTTCATTTTCATTATCTTTCTTTTAATTAATAGTTTTTTTAATAATTTTTTTTTAATTTAAAATAATAAAATATAAAAA